CATTTTTCAAAGAAATTACGCTGTGGAGAAAGGTCAAGGCTTCTCTTGTGCCGCTCTTGTTTGTATACCTGTCTTGAATTTTATTTTTTGAAAATTTTGATTTTCACACTGAAAATTCCTAGTCACTGTGTGGGCAGTCTGTTGATTGGCAGTAATAAGGAAATTTAGGTTGAGCGATTTCCGATTTTCTTAAAAAATCAGACTAAGCTGCAGTTTGTTTTTAGTTTCCATCCATTTTCTTGTTGGAAGGAAATTCTAAGAGGATGGGCAATAACCTCAAACATATTTGTAGGTGCGAAGGCAGTGGATACGTTGTACGAGTCGAAAAAATACGGTCATGCAGCGAAGAATGTGAAATTTCCCACTCGACAGGCTGCTGTAATGTTTATGAGGACACTTCTTGAAAAGGGCCTCCTTTTTCGCGCAAGAAAGCTTGTCCCCAAGAAGCGAGATGACAAGGTATTGTTTCTCAATTTTCCATGTTTCAAACCTCTTTTTGTCCAACAGAAACTTTTTTTTTTTTTGAATATTTGCAAGACAGAATATGATTTTAGGATTTGAAAGAAAAGGCTCGTGGTGATGCGAGTAAGTCACCGAAAAAGAAGCCCGTGAAAGAGGGATATTCGGAAAAGGAAAAGAAAGAGGAGGGGAAAAAAGAAAGTGACGAGAACGAAGATGAAAATGAGAAAGAAAAAGGGGAAAAAAAGAAAAAGGTAGGTTCGCAAGTTGCTTTTACGTTGGTGCAAATGTAGTCTTTCTATTGGGTTCTTTTCAGGACGAAGAGGAAAAAAAGAAGCGGAAGGTGAAGTTAGAGTTGCATCAGGAGCAGACGTTCAATGATTCAAACGATGTTTATGTGTGGATTTTTGATCCAACACCACTATTTAAAAAAGTTATTGGTGCTCTTATGGGTTAGTTCTTTTGTTCTTCACACTCTGAAGAGTTGGTTTATACGGTTGTATGCCCAATTTCTTTTAGTTTTTGAATCTGGATTTTGCTGCTTCTCTCCAAGTTGCTGCAAACGGTGATCGAGACCATATATGACAGTGTAAAGATGTCCTGGTTTTGGGGTCGCCTGTCGAAATTGGACCCTTTGCTGAAAGGGTCCCTTGTTTCTCAGCTATGTCTGTGTATTTTGCGCTCAGGCAGTCAGATTTCAGTGCTGGGGACGATAGCGGGTTGTTTATTTCCACTTTGGCCAATGTGGCTCCGTCAGGCTGTGTATTATCTTTCGATTGCTGGTTTGGCCTGCTTTGGCTTACTCATCGGTGTTGCTGTCGGTATGAAATCATTTGAAATTGTCTTTTCTGCTTCAGATTTTATTTTTTTGCATTAGCTTTTTGAAATGGGCAGAATCACACCGTAACGTGCATTTTTGTAGCACGGACAATTTTATTTGCGATAATTTGGGCGGTTACAATGGGCCGACATAAACTGTGGTTGT